TCCGAAACTTGCCAAACTTTCGAAACGATCCGAAATTTAATTGTCGTTATGCAACTCGAAAAAATTGTTGTCGAAACGTTAAAATTTTTTGTCGAATTAAAAATAATACATCTTGAAATCAACGGAATTTGCGTGATTTGCTGCGACTGTTCATACGGTTATAATATCATCGTTGATTCCTTTTTCTAAATTTACTCTTTGTAAATTAACGTTAAGCCTTTAATAAAGAAATGTATTTTTGAAATGTTTGATGGTATTTTATCAACTTCAAGTTATACAGGGCATCTATCACGTTATGATTAATATTACTAAACTTAAACGACGAGATTCGATCACTTTTTTTCCTTTTCAAAGCTTATGTTCAAGTTGTGCACGTCAAAACCAAAATTTTTTCTTACAAGGTGCGTAATAAGGCATCCTATTTAATTTAATATTATTTCAATATTCCCTTTCTTTTTCTCAATTAAGTAATTGACACAAATTTTTATTTTTCTTTCTGCGAAAGATATTATCAATATTATTGAAGGAGGATTTTGTTGGATTAATATTTAATCGTTATTATGCCGCAATCATAAGTGGATCTACTGGAATCATTAAAAAAATTTTTAACGTTGATGTTGTAATAATGCTGTTAAAAAAAAAAGGAATACAAAATTTCGAATGTAATAAAAATATATATATTATGCAATGAATCAGTACTTATGAGTTGTGATGTGTGATGACGAATTCTAAAATGTACTTATTCATAGAAAAGTTTATTTAAAAGTACGCACCTTTTGACACATATAAACGTAAAATTGGTAATATTGACCCTTCACTCCCTCGACTCTTCTCAATCTCTCCTTCTTAACAATATCTCATATCACTATTTGAAACATTAAAGGAACAATGACAGGTCGGAAGCGTAATATTGATGATTCTACCATTTCTACCAAATCAAGGTCAAAAGTTCTAAAGGCTACTAGATTTGCTAAACAAAAGGTTTCATCTTCGACAAGAAATTCTCAAAAGAATGTCCAAATCCTCAACGTTAACCGTTCAGATTACCTTTCTTATGACGATGTAAAATTAATGAGGAGAAAGATCAATGAATTAGCTACGATGAACTGTGAGGATGAAGAATCTTTAATAGATCCTATTGATATCACTGATATTGCTTTCAATACAACAGAAGGTTTAAAAGATTTCAAAGAAAAATTTTCGGGTGTAATTTCGATTGTAACGTTACTTTGTACTATTAATAAATTATTTGAAGATATTGGATGGAAGTTGTCAAATTTCAATGAATTAGATGGTGGTAAATGTGAATTAATCGATCTTACTACTAAACAAACTTTTAGACTTAACGTAATATTTGATGAAGGTTTTGAATCTGATATTAAAAGACATAGGATGAGAAAGGAAAGCGAGATCCCAAAATATTTTTACGTCTATGATCATGGAGAAACAAAACTTTTGAGGAATAATACCGATAATATAAGTATGAACGTTAAAGGTAAGATCATTGATGTGGAAACGAACATGAATGGAGTAAAGATTATTAATGGAGCTCACGAGGATAATTCATGCGATGGCTTACAAACTTACTCCGCTGCGAGATCAAGAATCAAAAGAAATTTACCTGTTTCCCGGGGAATTGACATAATTCTTGACGAAGTCACTGATGAAATAAGAAATCGGGTTGTACATTTCGATAGTCCTTTTTCTTTGTTTGAAGGGAAATCTCGGGAAAGTAACGACGGTTCAAATAAAGAACATTTGAAGAGAGAATACGAAGAAATTGAAAAGAACAATCATCACTTCGTCTTGATCGGAAAAGTTAACGACGATCCTGAAGGCAACACAAATGCTAATATGGGGAACTTGATTAATTTAATTGATAAGTCTGCGACACATGCAAAAGCTTCAAAGAATGTCGAGAGTGCGATGACGGTTTTCTCGAAATCTAATGATGATTATAGAACCAATGGAAGTAATAATAAAAATGACTCCATCGTAATAAGGGATTATAAATTTTTGGATAATGAGGTTACTAGCGAAGATTCTCACTCATTAAAGCAACTCACCGACCATTAAGTCTATTCATTGATGGAGTAAGAAAAAAGAATTGCTGAAATATCAAATTCCTTTTTGGTTAAATTTAATTTGATTTTTCGAATAATTGAAATTTTAGTTTGGCAAAATAAAATTAAAATCACATGATTTATTATTCGATTGAAGCTTCATTTAAAAACTATTATTAAACGAGTTATTTTAAAGAGTTCTTTGTTTATATAGGACTTTTTCATTAAGTTTATTATAACTAGTATTTTCATGAGGCTTTATATTAATTAAGATTAAGAAATACAATGTTATAAATAAAGAACAACATTTATTATTTTAAACAAGGATAAAGATCTAGAACATACACTAAATTTTGGTTTTCGTCTATTATCTTAATAATTTATTGAAATGTATTCCGACTTTTCACGGGTTATTATTCCAAATTGTAATCACCAACGCTTTTATGAAATTGTGCACGCAAAACCTCACTTTCGGATGAACCTTATCGAAATATTATTGCCAGTTTTCGTATGTAACTTGATTGACGAGTCGAAATAGTTGAAACGTTGCTTTCGTGTATTAATATCGTTTAAAAAAAAAAATTTGTTATCTAGTACTTGGCTCATTCCGACTTAGTTGGGCACTTTGGTGGTTCCTCGGTATGATATGCAAGCATTATATTCAATTCATGTTGATATATTACGTCTTTTTAATTATTGTAGGGAGGATATATAAAGCCTAATGATGATATCCTAGGACATGATGCTTCGGTTGTTCTTAATCTGAACATTATCAAATGGAAAGTTAATTTGTATGTTCGCACCATGTTTTAATTTCTACTTTTTATCATTGTAGGTGAAATGCTCTTTCAAGTGACAGAAAAAAAAGGTTTTTTTTTCGAGTTGTATCGTAAAATTATGTTCAACGTGTAATTCACCTCAGCAAGTCCATGAGAAAATGTTACGATGAATTGGTAATGGAGCTGAGGTGAATATATCTTTGATATTAATGTTTTATGCTAATCTATCAATCGATCCTTTTGCTTGCAAAGTGAGAATTTATGAACGTGATGTTAATAATAATATCGTTTGGCATGAATTCGATAATCCCTCTCAAATTAATTCACGCGTTCTTCCCGGATTTGTATTGAATTTGCAAGGCATTCTTTAATGCAACATGATGAAATGTAGAATGATTAAATGAAATTTTCGTTCAGTTTAGGAAGAACCATTTCTTAAAACTATAAGCCGATTGCTATAGTTTGTTTTTCAAAATCTATTAATAGAATAGACCGTGGGTCATTTGCGAGATCTCGATTTTCATTACTAATCGTTATCTGTTATGGGCTAAAGCACAAGCGCTTAGCTCCTTTTATCTTTAT